ATGACTACTCCGAAACGTCAAATTTTACCGTTCGTTTTTACCGTTTTGTCTTAAGAAATCTCTTTTAATATGAATATTAGTACTGCACCCAAAATACAATAACTCTTCAACATTAACCTTCTACATGTACGACACATACTTCGTTTGTCCAGTATATCCAAAGGGTGAACTCGCACCGGATTAAAGTCCAGATAGAACATCTTGTTTCTGTTCATCATTTATTTTATTTACAAAATCTGTAGGTTTCTCTTGTGCTTAATGACATTCTTGAAGGTCTAATTATACTTGAAAGTTGCAAGTCTTGCACTGAGAACTCTCGTTAAATTTCCTGTCAGATCCCACAGATTATGATGGAAATATGGTGTCAGTATTATCACTCATGTTTGAATTTTTTTCACTTGGTTTTTTGACATGAATAGTTGTTCTGTTGGTACTTCAAACTTTTCTGTTTCAATAACTAGAACAAAAGCACACAGCATCATGTGATTAAAATCATGTTCTGGTTTATGCAGCAGACACTGGACCACCACTGTCTGCTGCATAAACTAGAACATTATGGAATTAGAGGGAAAAATCTGAAATGGTTTGAAGATTTTCTTACTACTCAAACACCAGGTCTAATAAAACCAAGACGTGTCATCCGGTTTGACTATGGGGTTCCCCAAGGATCCATACTGGGCCCGACTTTGTTTGCAGTATACATCAATGATCTCTCGCAAAGTCTGCTAAAGTCATCAACAGGCATGTACACTGACGATACTGTATATCTACTTTTCTGACTCCAGTGCTGAAATCATCAAGCAGGTTGTAGAAAACGATCTAACCAGTGTCAAAAAGTGGTTAGCAAGCAACAGACTCGCACTCGATCAGAATAAGACTAAATGGATGCTGTTTGGTACTAGGGAAAAACTAGAACATTGTTCAGACCATAGAGTACAGTTTGGTACTAGGGAAAAACTAGAACATTGTTCAGACCATAGAGTGCAATTCTATGGGAAAGAAATTGAAAGGGTATCAAGCTTTTGTTACTTAGGGGTCACACTAGATGAGAATCTCTCATGGAATGAGCATATAGAGTCCACACCTTGCAAGCCTAAGACCTGGAAGCATTATGTAGATGATACCTTCACCATCCTGGATCAGGATAGAGTTGATGCCTTCGTACAACACCTAAACAGTCAACAACCATCAATCCGTTTCACCATGCATGGAGATCAAGAGTAACAGCAAAATCACCTTTCTCGACACGTCAGTTTATAGAGAAACAGATGGCTGCCTTACCACCAGTGTCTACAGGAAGCCAACACATACTGATCAGTACCTAGCATATGATTCACACCACCCTCAGTCAGTAAAGCGTGGTATTGTGAAGTGTCTGTACGACCGGGCTAAACGTCTTGTGACTAAACCATCAGTTATCGCTGGAGAGAAGAAACACCTGTCATCTGTACTTGTTTCTAACCGATATCCCTCCTCTTTAGTGCGGAAGATCACAAAAATGAGAACAGCCCCAAGAAAAAAGGCCGTGGCAGAGCTTAAATCCACTGCTGTCTTACCTTACACCGTTTTCAATGCTGACATGACACTTTGGTCGCACTTAGTGCAGCCAAAGGACGCCGTCGACCCAGCTTAACAATTAACATGACAGAGATATATGACTCACCTGTACCCAGACCTCCGCC